CATAAGTCTTAGTTTCTAATGCCTTGATCATCTTTGGTTCCCTTCTCTGAAGCTGTTCCAATTTTTCTGAAACCTACTAAAAATGCAGAACTCAGAGTAGGCCACAATATTTGAGATGGGGTCTGACCAATCTAGAATAAAGTGGAATGTTACTTTCTGTGATTTGTTGACACTGCCTAATTGCATTTTAATTTTTGGCATCTTCATCATAATACTAGTTCATTTTCAGATTGCACTTTGACTGCTATTCCACAATTTTTTCACAAGTGTTACTCTCAAGCCAGGTATCCCCTATCTCATACCCGGGGTTCTGTTTCCTGAGTGAAAAACATTGCATTTATCCATTACATTGCATTTATCCATTATCCATTTCATTCCATCATTTTCAGTCCATTTCTCTACCCTACAAATACTTTGAATTTTATTTTTATCTTTTAGTTTTAGGTGCTCCATCTAATTTTGTGTCATCTGAACATCCGATAGACATCCTCCCCCAACTCCCATCCAAGTCATTAATAAAAATATTGAATAATACAAAACCAAGGGATGAACCTGTAGCATTCCGCTTGATTCCTCTCTCAAATGAAGTGGAGTGATGTGTAATAATTGAGGAGCACTCTGAATATGAATTTTGTCAGCTCTATATCCACTTAATAGTTACGCCATCCAACTCACACTTAACTAGCTTGGTAATCAAAATGTCATGAGGTACCTTGTCACATTATTATTACTATTGCTATTATTATTATTATTTGCTAGGCATACAGTATATGCTTTCTTGAAATCTAGTATCATCTTGATACTAGATTTCAAGAAAGCATATACTGTATGTCTAGCAAATAAGGAGAAAGATGGCATTAATTAAGACTAAGCAAATCAGCCCTCTTCAAATCCACTTTCCCAGGGAACATAAAACTGTCATCTCAGCCATAAAGCATTTTAGACACAAGAATGTTGACTAAATTGTAAAGGAATATTGGGAGGTGAAAACAGCTCTGGAAAGCAAGATCATTAGAAGAGAACACTTAGGGAAAAACAACACATCAACAGTAAATTTTATTCCAAAGAACCAGCCTTTGTCTTCTCAGTACACCATTGTCTCTGTAGTACTACCCTAATTACTTCACTAAACACATGTAAGGCTACATGCAATCAAATACTTTGCTTTGGTATTAAATCATATACATTTTAAATTGCATAACTCTCCACCCTTTTTTAGGTCTCCTTTTGACAGCATTTGTGCAGTAGGTATCGGATATCATCTGCTGAAGCAGAGATTGGTAAGGTTATGATCTTGTTCACCTTTGTGTCAGCTAGCATTAACCAGCACCCAGAGGGACACCTCCTCACTTCATCGGTTCCCTTATTGTGTGTCTCTGTGTTGGTTTTAATAATGGGAAATGTTGGATCCAGGTTTACAATTGGCACAAATGGTGTCCCGGGTGCAGGTGAGGCCACTAATCTCGAGTTGGGGACTGGCCAAGTCCAGGTTCTTTAAGGTGCAGTGAGTGACAGCCTGAGTATAGCTTTGGCTGAGAATCTTTAGGGGACAGTGAGCAATAATAGCCTGATTGCAGTCTCAAATGAGGAAGTTACAACTAAGGTAAGGTTGAGTATTTAAAGCTATTGGGCTATTAAATGGCTGAGGAAATGGCACACCAATACCTAACTCATCAAGGAGCTCCAGTTCCCGCTCATTGGAACTTTTGGTCTTAAAGTGTTGCAACATGTATATTTTTGTTGGGAAGTTGCCCATCCTAAACAACTCAAAGTGTTAAACTAAGTCCTATGAATAAAGATGAAAAGAGCTGGGATCTGTTCTCTTGTTCCAGGGTATAAGATACAGACTAGTGAATTTAAGTTACAGGGAAGCTGATTCCAACTGAATTTTAGAAAACACTTCAGGAGGAATTTGTCAGTGGTATCAATTATTGAAAGAGGTGCTAAACTTTGGTTCACTGGATGAGTTCAAATGGAGGCTAGACAGTACTTGACTGAGATGCTTTAATCTGGATATCTGCACTGAGCAGGGTGGTTGGACTTTATGGCCTGAATGTCCTCTTCCAATACTGTGAATCTATAGCATACAACTTTCCCACAATTTCCTCAATCAAAACATTGGGAAGATACTCAATCAAAAAATGATATACGGTTCATTTGGCAAAACTTGTTCTTGACAAATCCATGATTACTTCTGCTAATTACAACATTGTTTTCAAGGTGCTTAGAGATTAATTGCTTTATGATGTATTCTTGAATCTTCCAAGATATTGATGACAGACTGTCTGTATTCATCTTTGTTTTTCTGAAGGGAGGAACAGTTGCTTTCCTTCATTCTTCTGCCTGTTCTCCAGTATTGCTCAAAAGATAATGAATAAAGAGTTGGCCCAATCAGCAGGAATTTCTTCACTATCCTAGAATGCAATTCATCGACTGCTAGAAATTTAAACTCATTCAAAATAAATTGACATATAATTTGTTATCATGTTCTGATCAATCTGTTTATCTGTTCTTATGGATTTTTTTGGATTTTGTCTACCACCCAGAGTCTATTGGAGTTGGGTGGCTATAATAAATTTAAATTAATAATAATATGTCAGTGGTGTAGACAGGAACACTCAAATTGGTGAGAGATGATACTTAAGATTTTGCTAGATGACCTTCTGTTTGTTAACAAACAAAAGATATTAATATATTTTAAAAAATAAACAGTCAACAAATGTGAGGATTATCTGAGATGCATTTAAAGTGGTAGAGAGATAAGACAATAGCTTCTGTCTCTTGGTGGGGAAAAAATGGAAGAATTATATTGTAGACAGTTGGAAAAGGATGTAAAAGAAACTTTGAATATTTATGCTAGAAATCAACACTGGAATCCTGCTATGTTTTTAGATCTGTAAAAATGGGAGTTTGACCAATTATATGCACTGAACACCGAATTTTAATTAAAGTGTATTAAGCAGATCTGTTGGGAACAGGGTCTAAAATCTGACAAACTGCTGGTTTCATGACTGAAACAACTGAAGAAAAAATAAATAATGCCCGCTATAAGAGATTTTACAGGGATACATCATAGTAGTTATAAAGCAATTAATTCTTAGTTTGAGTTTGAGGCAAAAATTTATTTGGTGTGTGGTTTGTCATTGACAATGTTGACATTGTCAAAACCACCTTAAAACAGAGGCTACCCTTGGCCATTCATACCCAATCCCAAGAAAAGATTTCCTGAGATTGTGTACAAGCACCCAAGGGTAGCCTCTGTTTTAAGGTTTAAGATGTTCTGACATGTGCTATGTACATACCAACATGAGCTCTGAATCTTATTTTATCCTTCTAATCTGGACCACTACTCAGCCCTATAGCTTTGCCTTTTCTTGGTTGTTAGCATTTAACTACCGTCCTTGAGTAGCTGACATGCTGTTTTCCTTTTATTATGAATGTATCTAAAAAAAACCCCTTTTATTGCTGGTTGTGTTCTTCGACAACCTCAGTTCATTATAAAAGGAGAAGGATGCCAATTTTCATCAGTTCCTCCTTCCTTGGATGGTTCTACAGTACTGTCTCCTATAAAGGACAAGGTTAGAAGTGGTACTTGGACATGTAAGGGTAAATCAGTGAAAATCTTTTTCTTCTAGCAAGATATGTATGCTAGAAACAAGTTGCCCTTACTAATGCAAAACCTGAACTTAAGGTTGCTTAAAAAGGAGCTGTAAAAATCTAAACCACAACACTGCAATGAGTAAAATAAGCATCAAAAATAATTTTTAAGCATGCCAGTGAGAAAATTAAAAAATAAAATAAAATGAAAAGCCTTTCCTAATGAGTATTTGTCATGGAGAAAATCTATCTATGCGGTCGCTAAGAATTGACAATCACTTGATGGCACATAATCAATCATCAACTTACATATAAATAAATGACTGCAGCTTTATTGTTACGTAAAATAAGAACGTTCTAAAACATTAAACATGATTCCCGCAGGAATGCGTTGATACAGTGCCCCCAAACAAGCGCGCGCTGACGCATCTCCCCCTCTCCACCAACCAATTTGCTCCTCCCCTTTTTCTCTCTCTGCTCCACCTTCCCGCGCCTACTTGATTCGCGAGAAAGAGACAGGAAAATGACGCAAGTACAAACTGCTCTTCAGTCGAGGCTTTAGAGCTAGTGTGTTCCAACAGAATGTTCCAACTACAATTATACAAAAAACTTACAGATAATGTTTCCTGCTATTCTTTATCGGAGAAAATCGGAACCACACATCGTTATGTCTACGTAGGAACTTGTCTCGTCTTTGTTTTAGAACTGAAGGCCGAAAACAGCTTGAATTTGAGACCGATTTGTTCTAATCGATTCCTAATTCTATGCACATCTCTTTTTCCAAGGGCCCCAAACCCTTGTCTACAACGTTGCCTGTTTCTTACGTCGGGGGTTCTCCATTCAGTAGGGTCTACACGCACACATCGGTGCTGGATGCTGAAATAAGGAAGTAGAAAAGGAAACTCTTTATGGTCTCTTCTTATCGGAATACCGGATTTTGGATTCTTCTAATCCGATTGGGTCAGGCGGCTGAGAGACGACACTGACAGAGGGGGCGCGTGGGGCCCCTTCGCGATGGGGGAACAGGAAGTCGAGGAGAGGAGGGGCGGGGCCACGTCGAGGGAGGAGACTG